ACTTCACTGCAATGAAATGACTGTTTTCAAAGACTTCACTGTTTTCAAAGACTTCACTGTTTTCCTTATGAACTTTCAAGGAGGTACAATCAAGCATGTTAGAAAGGGTAGAGATCTTAACTCGAGCCAGACTGTGTTCATACTGCTTAATTATCACCTATTGGCTCAGTTATGCTTGCCAACTTACTTAACTTCTCTGGGCTTTAGCACAGATAATAACTGTAAGAACTAAACTAAAGCACAGAGTACAATACCTGGCACTCAGAAATGTTTAATACAGGATAGATATCATATAGATACTACAGAACACACAATTACAGAAAGTCACTCAATTTCACATAAAAAATACATGCATAAGTACTATTCTTTTTATATTTTCATGATAATGACTAAGAATAATCACAGGTAGCAAGAGTATTCTGCCCCTACTTAGCACTTTGTGCATATTCAATAAGAAACTGTATCTCTTTTCATATCCATAAATGAATAGTCTATATCTATCTACAGTTGAGCTAAGTTAAAGGCAAATTTTTCCATATTCAAATATTTTGAAACATATTTTGGTCAAACCTACAGCAATACAATTTAAGAGCAGCAATACCACCTAAAGAGACATCAGGGGAAAAGATGGGCCTCAAAAAAAAAAAAAAAAAAGGTAACTATAAAAGATTTAAAGAATGTGATTATACTCCCCAACAGAGCTAAAAGGTTGAAGGGTATTATCCATATCAAAGCTTCATTAGTAAGGTAAACAGCAGCAGCAACACTTATGGGGCAATGAGTACGCTCACGATTTCTCCAGGTGAAGGTGGAAGGGTAACATCCCTAGCTGGACAGTCACCTATCTCTGCATTTGGTATCTGGAGCAAATGGACTGTTGAGATTAATTACCCCAAATCTGTTCCATCCTGATTATCACTGCTTTTACAAGGGACAACCCCTGTCTCCACTGAGCTTAACAGTTAACAATAAACAGTCTTTCAGTCATGTAATTACATTCTTATTTTTCTATCTACAAACAGAACAGGAAGTTATTCCTGAACAAAAGAAGTCACCCGAAGAAATCAAATTTGAGTATATACTTTTTGAAACTTAAAATGATAATCACAGCAGCAAGTATCTACTGAGTACATACTATGCGCCAAGTTCTTCGTATGCATCAGCCAGCTTAATCCTTTGAAAAACATGTTAAGATTAAGATAAGATCTGCACAAGATCACAAATACTGTATAACAAGTTAGAAAGCAGGAAGTCTTTTTTGCTTTGAGACATGGTCTTGCTTTGTAATTTAGGTTGGCCTTAAACTCTCCATGTAGTCTAGGCTGCTCTCAAATTCTTGGCCATTCTCCAGCTTCAGCCTCCCCAGAGCTGAGTTAGGAAGTGCTGGGATCACAGGCATGTGCCACCAGGCCCAACTGAGCCAGGCCATCTTAAATCTCAGAGGTCATGCTCCTATCTTCTAACCGACACAGGATACAGCCCCCGACCCCTGATCCCCTCCCCCATACACTACAATTGGTGGGATCCTATCACAGAAGCTGATTCCTGTAAATGCTCTCCATCATCCAAGCATTTCAATTTTGATAGTCAGTCACAGTTCCTCTTCTCAAAATTAACTATAATCTACATAGAGTACTCTCTAAAGTACTAACATTACAATGTTCCTTACACATGTCCTTGTTTCAGCTGTTTTCCCAAATTTCTCTTCTCAAATGGGACTACTGGAGACAAGACTGAGCCTTGAGACACACAGTGAAATGTCACTAGGCACTATGTAATGTTTTCTAATGGTCATTAGTGGTCATTTCTATTCAACAAAAATTATTCTTTGAAGTGATAGTCATTTTAAATCAACACTGTATGAGTTCTCTATGGTAGCTCCTATTCTTACACTGAAGTACTGGCTTATCATTGAAGACAATGACAAGCCACCTCTCCAATTTGCTATTCCACTAACCTACAGCCAAATTATACCTATGCCATTTTTTACAGTTCACTATTCAAACACTTAAAATGTACATTCTACAATTAGAGTTGGAAAAATCTAAACTTCTATAGAAAAATATAATGCAAAACATCTAAACTCTCAAAGCTATGATCCTTTGTGGCCCATATAACAACTGTATAAGTAGGTTCTAATAATGGGACATACAATTTGATTTTTTTAAAGACAGGCTCTCACTACATAGTTCAGGCTGTCCTCAAATTTGTAGCAATCCTCCTGCCTCAGCCTCTTGAGTGTTAGGTTTATGGGTATGTGCCGCTATGCTTGGCTAATAGGGTGATATTTTATTTCACCTTGTTGAGATACAGAGAAAATTTCTGAGGAAGAAATGAAAAACTCTTCTGCCAAATAACTATTTTAAGACTTCCACAAGACTGTTTAGGGCTGGGAGATGGCTCAGTAGAATAAGTGCTTGCCTGGCAAGCGCAAGAGCCTGAGTTCAATCCCTGGTTCCGGGGAGAAAAAAAAACACTGCTTAGGGGGGAACTACCCACTCGGGCCCCCCTCCTGTCCCTCTCTCAGACAGGGCTTTCTTTCTCTCAATAAATATAGTCTGCTCATAAGAAAAAAAAAAAAAAAAAAAAAGACTGTTTACACTTAAAAAGACTTTTTAAACTGATATTGCGGAGGCCAGCCAAATAATCTCAGAGGATTAAAGCCCTTGCAAGTAGGCACAGGCGCCACGGGTTCCATCCCTGAGCCTGCTGTGCCAGCCCTGCCCCCAGGTGTGCTGAGACAGCAATTGAGACTGGGCGTGGCAGCACCCCAGCTCTTGGGAGGCTGTAAACAGGCAGATCACTGTAAGTCCGATCTAGTAGTGAGACCCTGAGCCCCCTGTAGACCCTTCCCGAAAATACCAAAAAAATAAATAAACTAATATTGCCAGGACTGAGTCCAGGTACGTTTCAATGGGAGTGATAAACATCAAGTTTCTGTCTAACAAACCGTTGTGTATTTAATGTTTATCCTACATTCCTGACAAAACAATATCCAATAGTTACCTTTGGGTATCTAAATAGAAAAGCTTTAAAATCTAAGTCTCAGGAAATTCCTTTCAGTGAGCCTGATTGTCACAAGACTAGCAAGTTTCCAGATTATCTAGGCAAAAACAAACTAAATCAAATAGTTTTCAAGTCCTGAAGTATTGCAGATGTTTTGGAGGAAATCTGTGGCTCTTCTTTGCAGGCAAGTGCAAGGTTCACAACACATTCCTAGCCCTACAAGCACTTGCTCTACACCATGCTCAAAATGAAAGGAGAAAGGTGATGGCAATCCTGGACAGAAAAATCAACCTTCCATTTACAATGTGTTAGGAAACCCAGGCCTTTCCACAGATTCTAAACTAAAGGTGCTAATTGGGGAGTGATTACCTCAAAGCCAGCTCTGGTCAAACACATTGGTCCTCCCTGCCCAGAACTTTTTCTTTAGCAAGAAACCCCACACGATGGATATTGAGCTTGTCTTTCAGTGCTCAGCTCAGATGTCTCATCCATAGAAAAGATTACTTTCCTAACCATCCTATGTAAAGCAGTCCTCCAGCCCTCTTATCACTTAGCCTTATGCTTTGACAGGAGCATTTATTACTACTCAAAAATGTCTCAGTGGGGCTGGAGAGATGGCTCAGTGGTCTAAAGCACCTACTTGGAACAAGCTTGACAAAGCATAGGGACCGCGGTTCGAACCCCAGCACCACATGCCAGCCAGCCCCGCCCCCTGGCGGGCTGAGCTGGCCACACACACACACACACACACAATAAATAAAATGTTAAAATAAATAAATAATTAAAAAAAAATAAAATTAAAAAAAAAATGTCTCAGTAATTTTGTTTACTAGGGCCTGGGGAAATGGCTCAATAGAATAAGCGCCTGCCTGGTAAGCGCAGTGTCCTGAGTTCAATCCCCAGTACCACAAAAAAAAAAAAAAAAAGTTTACTTATTTTGTCTACTCTATTGAGTATATTTCACAGAGGGGCAGAGCTTTGTTTGTCTTGTCCCTCACTGTGTCTTCTGTGCCTGGCACACTGAGGTCATGTGAGGCATAACTAAAAGGAAAAAGGCTGGTGCTGGCATTAACAATCATACTTTTAAACTAGCAGTGGTATGAGTTAGACTTCTCTCCCTTTCCTTAATCCATTCCAACAGTAAATAACTACTGAGCACCTACTGTATGTTAAGTACTGCAGCAGCTGCATTGGGAGCACCTCTGCTTTACAGACGCTGTAATTCAGGGGACATCCTAGAGTAAGCAGATGTCTACAAGTGACAGACCTGGGGCATACAGATCATCCTCTACATGCCCTCTCTGGGAGAAAGAGCGAAAGGAAATCCCCAAAGGAATTCCCCAAACATTCACCAATCCAGCACTTCAAAATCAAGCCCCAGGAGTTTCCCAACATCAGTTGGGCAGCTCTTTCAGCCACTTCTGCTCACATGGGGAGACCTCAACTAGCTGAATCCAGGTAAAGAAAAAATTTAATAAGGACAACTGCTTCTGAGGACTTGGAGGTGGTTAGGGGCGGAACCAGGAAACTAGGGACAAGGAGTCGGAACAAGAGCTGCGAGCAGAGAGGCTGGAGAGCCAGCCATGACTGTCACCAACTTGCTAGGTGACCTTGGGCCAGTCCCGAGCACCTGGGAATCAATCAGATCCCCGGGATATAAAGAGGAAGAGGCCGGGTCTGGTATTTGGGGTCAGGCAGAAGCGGAAGCCAAGGGACCAGGCGGGATAACGGCCAGAATGGGACGCCGGCGCGGGGCCGGGCCGGGGCGGCTCACCCACCGAGCGCCACCTGGCAGGCCCTGCGCAGCTGGGAGTGCTGGGGCCGCTTCACCTCCTTGTCGGCTAGAATCTTCTCCAGGGCCCGGGACACGAACATGCTCTTGGTCTGGCTCTCCTGCATGGCCCCGGCCCGGCAGAGGCTGGCAGCCCCGCAGGCTGGCGGCGCGAGCTAGCGGGCGACAGAGACCGTGGGCCCGGCCTCCCGGGCCGGCACCGGCCGCGTCCGTGCGCGCCGCCTAGTCAGGAAGAGACGCCCCGGCCCCACAGCGCCGCCATGTTGGAGAGCGTCACATGATCACGTGACTGGAGGGGGCCGTGGCGGCCGGCGAGCGTCCGTCGACCCCGTGACCAAAAGGGGCGGGGCCCGGCGTGGGGCGGGGCCAGGTGGAAGGAGGGGCGGAGTGGAGGGAGGTGAGCGCGAGGGGTGGAGGGAGAGGGATCCGGGAATGAGGGAAGGTGAGAGGGAACAGAGGCGGTGATAGAGTGAGGAAAGCGGCAAGGAGAGACGCGTGCGTGGGAAAGAGGAGGGAACCGGAAGGTTGTTAGAGTTGGTACTGAATGAAGGAGGTGATCAGGAGTAGGAGGTGGGGGGAGAGAGGAGGGAAGAGGGAGCGGAGGGAGGAGGTGGGGGAAAGAGAACTGGAGGGAGGTGAGCGTGGGGAAGGAGAAGGCCGCTGCAGAGCAGCTGGGAAGAGGAAGTGAGGGAGAGAAGAATGCAATGAAGAGAATGTGGTTGGGATCAGGGGAGGCAGCTTGGAAGGGACCTTCTGAGATGGAGAGAGGAGGAAAGGAAAGGCGCGCAGGGCCTTGGAGGGACAGAGAGGAGGGAAGAGATGTGCTCACGACTCTGCCCTCCTGCGGGGCTGGGAGGGCTGCACACCATCCACACACCCCAGCCCGGGAGTGCTGTGTTCGCCAGGAGGGGCTTGCCTCCCTCTGGGGTTTCTGCTCTATTTTCATAAACCTGTGCTCCACACAGTGTGGTGGGCAAGAGACTGCTTTGGAGCATTTGACAGAAAAAACTCGACCGTTATGGCCAGTGTGACAGTCTGCTAATGAGTAAGGAGATGGAGGCTGGGGGTGCAGTTCTGTGGCTGAGTGCTTGCTGAGGAGGCGAGGTCCTGGCTTCAGTCCCCGCCACTTGCCTGGGGGAACCCCTACGCACATCGTTTTAGGGTTTCTTCCACTCCATCCTACAGTAGCGATATCACAGTAGCCATAATTGATGTCCCTGGACCTTCTCCAAGTGATGCTTTCCTAAGGACAGCCTTGGTACTGCGGTTCATTTGGAAGCCTAAGGAACTTCCCTCGCAGGTACATTCAAATGGCCTGGCGCTGGTCTGGGCATGATGGTGCAAGGTCTCAGTTACTGAGTTGTCCAGGCTGGGCTCAAGCTTTCTATCCTTTGGCTCCAGCTTCCCAGAGTGCTGAGGTTACAGGTGTGAGCCACTGCACCTAGTGGAATCATGTCGCTCCCCTATAATCCCAGAACTCTTGGAGGTTGAAGAAGAAAGATTAAAAGTTTGAGCTGAGCCTGGGAAACTCTGTTTTAGCTAGAGCCTCAAAAAATTAAAAGGGGGTGTAGGGATCCATTGATCTCAGTCGGATCGGTTCTCCCAGGGAGAAATGGCAGGAATGAGAAAAGATAGATAAGAAGACAAAAGCTGGGCTAGGTAGTAGCTGGTCTGCCTGGTTGGCAGGATGAGCAACAATATGGATGTTTATACCTTCCCAAAGTTACTAACACATGATACAATTGCCTAGTGCCATTAACCAGGCAGGATGCTTATCTCAGGACTGAGGTAGCTTGTTTGCTTTAGGCACTAAGGCCTAGTCCTGCCTACACACCTTTGATTTTCCAGCTTCCAGGGCTCCCCACAAGGGGGTGGGGAGCACTGATGTAGCTGAGCAAAGACCCCATGTTTACCTCTCTAGTTAGTACTGTAGCACACCTGCATGCGTATGTGCAAGTGTACATGCACACACACACACACACACACACACACACACATTTCCCTGGCCTTGTCAGGCTGTCTTTCTTACTTGAGGTTTTCAACAGTACCTGTTGACCTTCTTGTACTTATTGGCTTGTTTGTGGTCTCACTAGAGCAAGGCTGCAGAGGGACAGGTTGTGTCCCCAGGTCTTGGGCCAGAGCCAGGTAGACTTTTTTTTTTTTAATTTATGTATTTTGTGCAGGGTCTCACTATGCAGTTCAGACTCCTAGTAGTCCTCCTGTTTTCAGCCTCCCCAGCACAGAGATTACAGGTGTGTGCCACCACGCCCACGCCAGTGTGGATTATGGTGCGTGTGGGGGGACCGCAGTCCCTGCACTTGCCTAAGCCAGTGCTTAGTACACTGAGCTGTACACTGAGCTGTTTCACAGGCCCTAGTTAGACTGTTTCGTGGGCACAAATCCCATACTTTCCATTGCTTATATAGTCATGTGTCTTTGCAGCTCCTCCCAGGAAGAGGTGAAGTCTGACTGGGAATAGTGGCACATACCTATAGTCCTAGCTATTTGGGAAGCTGAGACAGGAGGATTGCAAATTTTAGGCCAGGATGGGCAACTTAGAAAAACCTCTTAAAATTAAAAAAAAAAAAAAATTAAGTGTAAAAAATAAGAGCTGGAGGGCTGGGGAGATAGCTCAGTAGAATAAGAATTTCCCTGGCAAGCACAAGGGTCTGAGTTCAATCCCTGGTTCTGCCAAATAAATAAGTACATAAAAGATGGAGATGTAGCTTTATATTCCCTGAGTTCATTTCACACTAATATACACACACACAGAGAGGCAAGCACACAGTCTATTTCTTCATCTTCCTGAACCTGGACTAGGCCTGTGACAGAATGTGGTGAAGGTGAGGCTGTTTGCATACCAGGGCCTGGGTGGAAAGAGGTCTGGCCCACTCCTTCCTTCTCTCTTACAATGCTGTGTGATGCTCACATGGAGAGGGCCCAGTGCTCAGTCCGCACACCAGTTGGTTGCGGCAGCATGAGAGACCTTGGTGAGAACAGCAGCAGAACTGCTCAAACAACCCACAGAATATGGAGAGCAACACTTCGTTATTTTAAGCCCAACATCTTGGGGTAGCTTCTTTCACAGCAACAGATCGCTGGTGTACTGCTTACCGCTCATGTGCTGAATGAATGAAAGAGTGAATGAATGTGTGAAATTCTCAGAAAAGCACAGGGCAGTCTGCTGAGTGACAAAGTTTACGCTTGGATTTGAATCCAGGCCCATTGTACTGAGCTATAGCCTCACCCCTTTTGATTTTGAGACATGGGCTTGCTAAGTCACCCAAGCTAGACCTCTCCTGCCTTAGCCCCCAAGCATGCCGCCACACTTAGCTCAGTGACAAGGTTTGAGTCATGCCCTAAGGCCAAGGTCAGACCATGTAACTCCCCTTGGAAACCAACAGTGGCTCCCCATTACCCTTGGCATGGAGCCTCAGTTTCCCACTGTGGCTGAGAGGTGGCATAGAAGTCTTCCAATTTCACTGACCTCATCTCTCTCCTGCTTCTCTTCTCAGAATTCAAACAACCACAGATTCCACATTAAGGAGCCAGGGAAATGGCTCAGTAGAATAAGTGCTTCCCTGGCAAGCACAAGGACCTGAATTCAATCCCTGGTTCTGCCCAAAAAAATAGATTCCATATTACTCTATCAAGGGCTTGACTTGTGCTTTTGTCTCAGTTGGCAATTCTCAACAAAGGCTATGCCACCCCAAAGAGTATTTGATATTTTTTTTTCAGACAGGTTTAGGGTTTTTTTTTTTTTGAGACAGGGTTGGGCCAGGGAGATGGCTCAGCGGATTAAGCGCTTCTCTGGCAAGCACAGGGGCCTGAGTTCAATCTCCGGGTCCACCCAAAATAAATAAATAAATAAATAAAAGAGGGTTTTTCTCTGTAGTTTAGGCTAGCCTTGAACTCACTATGCAGCCCATTCTGGCTTGGAACTCATGGTGAGTGTCCTGCCATTAGAGTGCTGGGACACAGGTGTGAGTCCCACCACACTGGGATAACAGTGTATGTTTTTCACAACAGAGGGGGCAGTGATGCCGCACAGTTTTTTGTGGTTTTTTTTTTTTTTTTTTTTTTTTTTTTTTTTTCTCGGTACCGGGGATTGAACTCAGGCCCTTGGCGCTTGCCAGGCAAGCACTTATTCTACTGAACCACCTCCCCGGCCTGAGAATCCCATTGTTAAGGCTTAAATATGAAATGTCCCCCAAAGACCCATGTATTTAGGACTTGCTCCCAAGCGCTACAGTGTTCTTAGGTGGAGCCTAGAGAGGTGGCTGGGCGTTGGGGGCGCTGACCTCATGGAGGGGTAGGATTCAGTTCATCAATGCGTTCCTAGCTGATTGGGCCGGTAGGAGGCGGGGCCCAGAGGGAGGAGGCAACTCACTAGGGGCATGGCTGCCGGGGGTGTGGCTTCCAGGGGCGTGGCTTCCGGGGCTCCGCTGTTCTCCAGCTCCTTGGTGCTCTTGATTCCTGGCTGCCACGGTTTGAGCATCTTCCTCCCCAGACCATTTCTGGGTTGAAGCCAGCTGCCCATGCACTGGAACTGTGAGCCCAAGGAACCCTGCTTGCCTTTAAGCTGCGTAGGTCAGGCATTTCGCCCCAGCAACAGAAAGGTGATGAACATAAACACAGAGCACAGAACAATGCATTTTAAACTCAGTCTTGGTATTTTTAAGTTTTTCAGAAATGCAACTACCATTATAATTCAAAGGAAAAAAATATGTATGTTTTGTCATGACCTTTACCGAATGTCACTTGCCATTTGAAAGCCTCATGATCCAGCCATAGTATCTCATTGGCCACAATGCCATCCCTGGTCAGTCTGCATGCGTGGCTATCACAATTCAAAATCAATGGAACTCTGCTTTTTACTTTTTTTTTTTTTTTTAAATGTATTTAGTACAGGATCTACACGGTCTCGCTACACAAATCAGACTCATAATGATCCTTCCTGTTTTTCAGCCTTCCAAGCATTGGGATATCAAGCACGGGCTGCCACGCCCAGTCTCAGTCGGGGGTGGGACCGGCATGGCAGGCCTAAGCAGGCGCTTTAATTCGCTGAGCTATCTGGCTGGCCTTCAGAACTCTACTTGTAGGTTCCAGATCTGACTGCTTCATTTTATCTCCAAGTGTAATTGTGCCTGAGCATTTAGCAATTAAAGTCAAATCAGTAGGCTATATACTGCCTTCCTTTTGTTTTGCTTTTTAGATCATTATCTTTTTTTTTTTTTTTTCTTCTATATGTAGGGCAGGGCCTACAGGGTC